GCTGCTTTCGAGCCGTGTGTCACGCTCGTTCAGCGGCCTCGTTTCGCTTCGACGGCTTTCAGCCTCACCCTGCTTCATTCTACTACTTTAATAAATCATTAGCTCATCCATGAACATGATTTCTGCCCGAGTCCCATCGGATTGCATCAGCTGTGGGGATGAAGACTACAACTCCCATGATTCCACACTCAGTCATGGCGTCATTTGTTTGTCACCTTTGTCTATTTGTTTATTTTGAATACGCGCGTCTAGCGGCGAAAATTACATATTGTGCCTTTAAGTGCACATTTAAGGTTAGACCATGTAAGAATGTTTCCGTTTCCAGTGGTTTGCTAAGATTGTGGGAGGATGTGGGAGGCTGAAGTACCGATACAGTGAAGTTGCTCCATGGCACTGCAGAGGCTGTGATGTTCCTCTGATTCCACAGTTCTAGTGTTTTATTACTGGGGTTATCAGGCTCTGCACACCTACAGCTGAGGGCACACAATACAATGTGTTAAAATTTGTTTCTGAAAACAATTATTCAGAAAAGGCCTTTGCTCTTCATTTTATCTAATTTATGTCTAGGAGAAACAACTGATGAAGATTATTGTTTACTGACTTCCAACTTAATTAGCAGGTGCATAGGCATCTGTGTATGTGAATTTATACTTACTAGGCCAGTGTTAGTTTGTCTAGATCGGCATGTCTGTTGATTGGGTACAGTTCTCCAAGATGGAAAAGTTTCTCTAGTGCTTCGTAAATGAAGATAAGACATATCAGTGCAGCAAACGCTTCCTCTGTGAAACGTGTAATGTAACAGACCAAGGAGCTGGCATCCGTTGCCACAAGAATCAGACACAGGAAAGCAGTCCACAGACCAATACAAGTGCGCAGGGATAGGTACGAGAGATCGTAGTCTCTACAGGGACAGAAATGGACAGGAGAGAGACAATATAGTGAGTTAAGATCTGGTTATATATGAAATATTTTGCAAATTTATTGCACAATATATGAAGTAAGACTAAATCAGCAAATGAATACTAAATTGATACAGAAGATATATTTTAAATATATATTCTACATTCCATGAAAATAACTGTATTTATTTGAAAGAGAATGCTAGATTTATTTGCTAGATTTGTAAAAATATTTTAATAAATAATAATCATAATAATACTTGGTATACAATTAAAGAATTGTTATGTATCAAATGTATCATATACATAACCAATGACAATTTATTTTGGGTGAGAAAGTGAATGATTAGTTAATGATTAAATACATTAAGATTAATACTTGGTCTGGTCTGTACTGACTTGCAGAACTTGAAGAGAATCTTTTCAAACACGAGGACAGGTCCAGTGCTGCCCAGTATAGTAAGCGGCTGTCCAGCGAACAGAGAGTATGCTACTCCAGTCATAGACGCTCCTAAAAGAGACTCAATGGCACTCTGACACACACATAAATACACATGACTGCTGTGTTTTGCATTACAAACATATTTTTATGTGACTTTGCCTAATAGACCACACAGAAACAAAACTGTGTGTATTTGCGTACTTACAATGCGTCCTTCTGTAGCCTCTCCCAGAAGTCCTCCAAACGTGATAACAGGTGACATACAGGCACAGTACAGAAACAGAAAAGAAGCTACACACTGCAAATTCAGACCGTCTTTAAAATCACTCAAATAAAATGGAACTTTTCTTTTCACATCCAGAATCAGTCCTCCAAACAGCCTATAGAGAGAGTGAAGAGACATAGAGAGAGCTACATTTCCATTGATTTCAAATGTTTTCATACTGAGCTAATAACATTTCTATCCCTTAAACCTCTAACCTGTCAAATTGAAGACATTATTCAGTATGTTTACTAGGCTATTTTCCTCATGAGGACTGTTTTTGGCTCCTCGCAAAGAAGATGATTTCAGGTTTTAATATCCTATTGAGGATATTTGGCCTTGCACAATGTTGTTAAAACTTGACCACACACCTTCCTGTTCTCTGCAGCTCTGGTCCATGGTGTTCTCCATGCTGCTCTTCCTCAACAGGAACACCTGTTCCGTTCGGCACTCCTGGCATCTTTCTTTTCTCCTATTCCGAGAGAGGAATAGATAAATTACAACAAATCAATCACTTCAGTCACACTTGTTGGTTTTTCCCATACCTGTGATGGGACACTTTTAGGAGGTTCTATGCGTATAGAAGGGTCCCATTCTCCTGGAGGCAAAACTGTCACTTGATCCAGAAACTCATCTATACCGGCCAACAAATCACTTCTGTCCTTGGCCTTATATGCAACATCGTGGAAAATCTAAATAATGGAAGAATAAAATTATATAAAATAAAATAAAGAAATGAAAATATATTAAAGAAAGAAATTTGCTTTAAAAGATTTTTTTGTTTAATTTATTCTACAAAAGGTATTTCTGAAAATAGAAAGAGCTGAAAATGTAAATATAAAGGTTAATGCATTAATATCCATTGAGATAATAATATGCATTGACCTCATCGGTCATGATGGTGGCCATGGAGCGACCGATCTCATGGTACTGTTGGGCTTTTCCATCAGGACCAAGCAAAATGAACAAAAATCTGCAGAGTAAAAATTGATTTTGATCATTCTGTTACAGTGAATTTATCAGCTCCATATATGGATTGACAAACAAACACTTACCTAGTGGGAATGGGAACTTCAGTGAGCCCTGTGAGCAGTACAGCAGGAGACAGGCGAACAAATGCAACGATGGACTTTTCTAAAAAGTCCAGCTCCCCAACCAGCACATTAGAAGCTTCTGCACCAGTGGGGATCTTCTTCATGAAATGTGTGTCCACCTAGTGAGAGAGAAGATCATAGCAGTGCTATTTATGTATTATTTATATACTATTATAGTATTTATTAATATTTTGAATTAGCTTTTTCAGTTTTTATTTTAATTTTTAAGTTTTAATAATTTTGTTATGTGCCTTAGTCACATTATTTTATTAGTTTTTTTTTAAACATTTTTAATTAGCTTTAGTTTATTATTGTTTCAGTTTTGGTTTTATTAATTTAATACTTCTAAACTTAAACATATTTCAGTTAGTTGCCAATATTTCTCATTTTCGTTTACATTTTTTAAGTTCAAGTTTCTCATCTAATATTTATATTTTATTTTATTTCAACTTTATTTTAATTACTTTTTTAATAACTACTTGTGGTTATTCCAGTCACTAACTCCAGCTGTTCATTTAGGTCAGGGTGAATAGATAAGAGGAACAGCAGGTATGTAATCTGATTGGGGCCATCCTTACTGTCACTCTAAATGTCTGACATCTACCTCATTACAGTGAATTTCCTGTTTCCTGATCATTAGCATAACATTAAACAAACAAGCTGCAGTACCTCTAAAGATCACCAGATGACAGTGCTTGTTTGTCTGTGTGAGTGCTTTTGTCCCAGATGTTCTTGGTAATGATACATTGCCTGCCTCCAGTGAACAGTCAGGAAATTAATTAGAAATAAACTGATTGAACCTGTTTGGTTTAATGGGTTATCTTGCTCAGTACTATCTTTCCTCTATTGTATTACACTATTACCTTTTTTTTAAATACATTTTTCTATATCTGTTTTCTCTGAAAACTGGATGTAGGAGAGATTTTTGCATTAATTTATTTTGAAGCCAGATAATGATCTGTGAGAATGTTACATACAGTATACATCACAAACAATAGTGATATTGTGTCAATTTTAGAGTAAAATAAATGTTTGTTTAATTTCAACAAACTTGTGATGTTCTTCTTGATGTTTTGGTTCTAGTACCTTGCTGAGATCCATCTGGCTATTATCCGGTGCTCCATTCTTTATATCTGGGTTTGTAGGTAGAGGCTGGGGAGAAGTAGCAGGACCTGAGAGATACAATTAAATATGATAAATATCTAAACATCCTACAATATCCACATCATACACAGTATAGTACCAAAATAAAGGTGTAAGTATATGTATATTACTAATGTACTAATATATTTTATTAGAATTAAGTAAATTATTTGAAAGTATAACCATAAAACTTAAATATTAGGTATGAGTATGAGACTAATATGGTAGAATCACTTATCAGCCAAGTTGTGTCCACTTTTTCATCTGCAACCATGAGTATGCAAACCCAGTAAACCAGTTAATTTTCATATTATACCCACAAGGATACCACTCAGGATGTGTAAAACCCTTTATGGAGCATAACACTCCACCCAAAGAAATTATGTCAATAATACATGACCAGAAGTAGTCCAACTTCAAAAGAATGATTTAGACAACTTTACTGACTGAATTAGGAAATTCTGTTTACAGAATAATTCAGAAAAAAGAGATTTGCATTTCTCCTTTGATATCTTTTGGAAAAATCGCCCCATAGATTTACATTGTCAATGTATTACTGTAAGCACAACATTATTTAGTTATATCCACAGGGCTTAAGTTGTATTTAACCAATAATACTTCTTTATGATACACATGTAAAATGCAGTGCAGTTTAGCTCACCCGCCTTGTCCATATGATGAGGTTCACTCTGTCTCCTGCCTGAGTCAGTGAGGGATTTGACCATTGGCAGCAGGTTGTTCCTCTTCTTGTCACTCTGGTGGTGATGCCTCTTCAGAAGTGCCTCTCGAACCTTCATTCTCACACTGTCATCCAGTTCATGAGCTGCCTCCTGATGGTCAAGCACCAAATCTACACACAACAAATTATATATATATATATATATACACACATGTGAATACAAACCAAATACAATCAACTTTTGAAAGACAATCATGTATAATTTAAAGGGACAATGTCCTTTTTGTTGTTTTTTTATTGTTTGCATGATTAAACTGTATGATGATGATGGTCAACTTCATATTTAGGACTGAATATGTTATATTCCAGCATGCTAAACAATGCAATACTTTCTCAGCGTCTAACTTTCTCTTTTTCTTTAAAACCTCCCACAGTTCCAGTCGGAGCTGATGCAGCACTGTTAATCTGCATCACTCACTCTTTCCCTCCCTTCCAACCTTTACAGCATAATTAATCTCCCTTGGTCTCCCTATCCTTCTATTTCTCCGGAAATTAATCATGTTCTTACCACTGCTGCAACACTGATCATAACAGTTATGCCTCGACAAGACACAGGCTACATTGTGAGTCTATTAGACTTCAATGGCTGATAGCTGATAGTCATTTATCAATACATTTAAAATTAAACAATGTATTTGAGTTGTTAAGCACAAATGGCATAAATTATGTATAAAAACTTGCAGGGTTGTAACCAGCATAGATGTAGGGTGACCATATGTTCTCTTTTTCCCGGACCTGGCCGGGATTTTAAAATTGTTTTGGCTTTGTTTTCCTATTGAGGTGCTCTCTACAGTCCTCATAAGTAATATATGAGTATTTGTTTTATACATGCGTAATTGTGCCACTAGTGGCCACCAAACAGAATTGCAATAATTACTATAGTTTCCAAACAGGTAGCCCTCGGCCAAACTCATGCTACTGGACATTTTGAGCCACTCAAACATACACAATTTTGAAAGAACAGCCACAACTCTTTGAAAAGTCAACCTACAAATGGCGTTCTTATAGTTGTCTCTTCACATTAAAGGAGATTTTAACACTGAAAAAATGACACGCTTCACCGTTAAGTGCATTTTTAATCTAAACGTTTCCTTCCTACCCTTTAAGGTGACATGTGCTGCTGGCGGCTGTGCCACTTGTTTCTCAAACTAAGTATCCATGGGTGTTTGGTATTAGTTTTTGCATGTGTCTATCACCAACATGAGTGGGAGGAGTGTAAGATTACAGTATGTGTGAGGTTACAGGTGGGCCTAATAAACTAAAGGATCGGAACACACACTTGCCACACTGCTGTACTATTCCCCACTAAAGACATGTACATTTTTTAATGTTAAAATTTGTCCTTTCACAGATAAACATGTAGAGTGCCATACACATTGATTTCTGACTGACCTGCAATTTCCTCAATGCAGCTAGCCTTCATGTCCAACAGGACAGTTCCATTAATGATACAGCTCCGTAGCTCAAACAGACTATGGAGAGAGAGTGTAGCTACGTACGGCTTACTCCACCTTTCCCCTCCATCTTCCACATCCTCCTCAAACTTCAACCACCTGAGAAGTATTAAAGAACAATGAGAGTCAAATAGACAGACTCTCACTTCAACTCTCAGAAGGCAACAGAGGGTTGTTTGATAACCAAGAAGTTTTAAATTGGGATCTGGGAACCTCCAGGGGGCCGCAAGGGAGTACTAGTGGGTCTGTGGAAAAGTTTAGAGAAAAACAGTGTAAAAAATGTAAAAATAAATAAAGTAAATAAAATAGAAATAAATAATAACAAGTACGATTAACTAAATAAATACAAATAGATTTCCTTTTATTTATAACAAATATTAAAATAAATATTTTTTAATAAATAACTAAATTATAATACATATAACAGAACAGTACTGAGTACTGACTAGTGAGTAGGAAAGACATAGTAATGTAACATAACAAATATTTGACTAAATATTTTCCCAAAATATTGTACACATTAAAATTTTTTACAGAATAAATTGGGTCGTTGCAAAAAAAAAAACATCTGCGTTTTGCACAAGAATGATCATATTTGGCAGTCCGTGGCATCTAAAAGATTCAAAACCCCGAGTTACATTTTGGCACTGAATATAATGTTGCAGGACATATGAATACCTAGCAGTTTCCTTCCACTCTGCGTCTTTGCCATCTTTAACACAGATTTCAGCGTCTCTCTCTCTGCAGGTTACGCCAGTAGGTGGCGACAACTGAATGGCTTTTTCATTCAAAAACACTGAATCATTCAGGAAAATAACCATATGAATGAGTCATTAAATTCACAAAACCGAATAGTTCAAAACACCAATTCATCCAATAGTGCCGCTACCGTGTGTGGGCGTGCTTGGAGACGCCCAACGGTAAATTTCGTCAGGGGAGCTGTAATAGATAAAATAACTGTGAATGTTGTGTCTAAACTGTAAGTTACTCATTTTTTACTACCTTATTTCTCACTTAATTGTTTTATAATAGCAATATGACATGATTACAGCTGTTGCGTTAAATATGCAATGTACTTATTTGAATGTGGCGCTTTCGCGAGGGTTAATTTTGAATCCTAACGTTAGATATAATTCTCCAGATTCACCTCCCAGTGAATGAACTTACAAGCGTTGCTCGACTTGTTACTGTTGTTGTCGTTCTCACCGTGTGATGTTGCGGTACTTTCTGTGTTCATGTCTTCTTGAGCTACACTTCCAGCCCGCGTCCTCTCAGCTCTCCTGCGGTGTTTGGAACTGTGTGGCCGGTGATGATGATGAGACTGTCTGCCCATGGGCATCCGCACACCCACAAACAGAGTCCTGTGACCTGAGAGAAAAAAGATAGCTGGTGAGATTCAATGTGATTTTCCAGTTAATATTACTGTATTGAGCTGTTGGCTGTATCACATGAATGACTGAGTATGTGTTGTGGATGCATACTTTCGGTGACGCATTGCTGCCACACACATATTAATTTTTCCACTCAATTATGTCGTAATAACGAGATGTTATGTCGTTAAAACGACAT